GGTGAATGCCGATCAATTTCTTATTTCAGTGCGAATTCAGGACGGTTTAATGGTCGGAGCTATATGACGAGAACAGTCATGTTACCAAAACGCTAGCGGTAAACATGTGTTGTTTGTTGAAGTTGAATGAGGGAAACTTTTCAGTGTGCGAAACCGTTCACCGGGGGGGGGGGATAGTAAAACACCGTTCGTTTGTTTTTGTATTTCAACGGTTTACTGTGTGACATGAGAAAGATCAGTGGGATAGGATTGTTTCAAAGTGGACAATATGTACAAAAATGGAGCCGCAAAATGCGAACGTTCTCATTGGGAGAACTATCAACGACGAAATAGACGAAACAGCGGATGGCGATCTTTGTTTCGATCTTTTCTCTGTCCCGATGTGGTATCCACATAGATCGCATCGTCCGCACCGGCCAGACTGGCCATTCGACCAGGTCGACGAACTGCATTGAACGAACCCGGGGGACCGATTCGTCTGGGCACACCTACGTTATGTATACCGTCTGGATCGGTCGGAATGCGTTCTTCCATAGCATCCTCATCCGTGCTGGCTAGTACACGATGCAACAGTTCCGCTTGCTCTTGTTTTGTGCCCAATTTCAATGACTCATTCTCCATGCCAGCCAGGCGAGTGATTACCTGTACGTGATGAAGGAGAAGCAAATTTAGTCCCGGATAAAATCACGGACAATAAGGCTTAGGTGGCTCAATAAATGAATAGTAATCTATGCTCTAGCGAGAACTGAAATATGGTTTACACTTGCCTGAGCCTCCAAAAGCCTCAGTGTGGTCGGGAGTGGGTTTCTAGGATAACGGCTGGTCACCCTTCTCTTGCGACTCGCGAAACGCCCCCATACGACCAAGCGTCTCGCATAGCCTCTACTCACCGCCATCTCACGGCGGAGGTGTTTTCCTACCTAAGTGAGAGGATGAAAAGCCGACATCCGAGGCTATAACCGGGTTGGTGAACCAGTGGTAGCTCACCTAAGGGAGTTGGCTAAAAACCCTGATTCCAAACCAACCAAGAGGAGGCGTACGAACGAACCACACAACTTCCTGGTTGTGGCAATGGTCACCGGCTCGATTGGGCATTGAGGTGTATTGGGCACCTTAGACGTTTGATCCCGTCCAAAGGGCGTATGATCCCATGAACTGGAAACCGGCCCCAATGGATTGCAGTTTCCACACACCGCCCGCGCTGCCTTGCGGGTTAGGCCTCGGCTAGCCAAAGGCTCCGGTTGTGGATTCCTTAAGGAAATTCACCTGCCTATAGACGGTTGGTGTTGAATAGGCAAAACTGCACGTCCTTCAGACAAATTCCATGCGCATTACCGCAAAGATCATGGCATTTGATCATGAATGTCCATGAAACACACTGGGGTGTGGGAACTGAACTGTCGCCCACAAAAACAATGATGCTCAAAAAGGAGTGCATACTTTGTTCCCTAACTTATCCAGGTAGAGGCGGGACTCGGACACACGTCCTTTCGCGGCGACAATTTGTTGACCTCTACCACTCGACCGTCACCACCAATTATTACTGATTAGTGATACACCAGAGTCAGTATGAAATTCTTCAAAATCACCTTAGAAATAGAACAAGATGATAAATCTAAACACAAGATCACGTATTTGGCTAACAGCTTGCATCACATTGAAGTGTGAAACGATCAGGAGCCTCAGTTGGATCTGAAGCCACGCAGGGACACAGCCTACAGCTTTGCACAACGAACTCTATCACTTCTATCGGTTTAGTACAGTGATGCAGAAATTCAGTGAGGAACATAAATGTCTGATTTGGTAGGATGAAAAGATATTCGTTCTAGTTTGCGAACGCGAAACGTATAGGTAAATTTGCTTTAACCCACTCTCATGACCCCGAGTGAACCCTTCAGCAGAGGATTTGACGCGAAATCTTGGTTGTATGCGACCAAAATAATTCGCAAAAAAAACTCCTGATAAGACTAATTTCGAGCAGAAGAAAAAGCACAATAATTAACCCAAAAGAGAAACCGCATATCAAAGAGGTTGATTGCTCCCCGCCGCCCCGCCCCGCCCCTGATTGTGTCCGATCGACAACAAGGTGAGAGGGTGAGACATACCCGGTTTTTATGAGTTAAAACAAATCACCATGCACATGAACCAATCACAATCGGTTTGTTTTTTTCCGTAAATTTTAGAGTGGATTTCATTCCAGTCCATCGCAAAATTCCCTGATCTTATTTATCTTTCGAAAATCGATGTGCACAGGGGTTGAACCAGATCTGTCCCTATTGTGTTAATTGTTTTTGTTGGCTAGTAGTCACCGTAAAAAACTGGGTACGTTGGAGACACACCAACATTGGACCGTTCAACCTAGTGGTAGTCACGTTTTCAGAAATTGGTACATACTCCCCTCCGGACGAGAAGAGTGGAACTGATTGTTTTTTCTAGTTTACCCGCGATCTCCTTCCAGTATACGGATGATACCTTTTTTTCAAAAACAGTGTTTGATCAGAATCCGCGGTGCGTGTTTAATTTTTTTCAAGGTACGAATCTTTCTGAAATAAAAGAACCGACTTCTTTTCCAATTCACTACCACTAGCTAATAAATAAGGAGAACGAATAGGGTAACGTTAATAACTATCTCGGATGAAGAGTTTCTGCATACTGATAAGCGGTTCATTTACGGTTAGATATAATAAGTAGTATGTGAATGACTAGGCAAAATTCCCCTGGAAGCACACGACCGGTTTCACGGTTTTCGCCGCTCGTCAGGCATGCGTTTCCGGTAATCTTTTGTTCGTTCATGCATATACTTGTACCCAGGAAATGTATTTTGCTACTTTGTGTTTTCTCACAATGGGTATGGATGGTATATCCGGACAATTGAAACAAGCCAAAGACCCAATCGTACTAAAGGATCTCAACAATTATGTTCAGTTCCGTACGAAGTTGGCTGTAGCGCAAACATGTGTTCGTTTCATTGATGAGTGTGCGAAAACTGTCAATTCCCCAAAACATACACCAAGTTTCTGCGACGAAGTTGGATTTGTATCACCAACGTTTCCTTGCAACGTCATGCTTTCAGTGAAAGGGACACTATCACAGAACGTATCCACGAATCGGAACCTAGTCAAATATGCTCGTACGTTCGAAATGTTGTCAACTGAGGAACGCCAACGTCCAGAATCTTTTGTGCAATCGATCGAGGAGAAACGGATGAAATGTAAACGTCAAGCATTACGGAAATTGATTGATCCAACGAAACACGCTAGTGAGATCCCAATCAACCCTGAGAAATACGTTCATAACTTTTTATCTGTTATATGGGATAGAAAGTTACTTGAAGTGCTTTCACTAGGACCCACATTTTTTTGTCCGACACGAAAAACTGAACAATTGGATCTGGAGGTTGAGTTTGAGAATCTATATTCCCAAATGTCAAATCTTGTTCCGCATTCATCACCAGATGTAGAAGAGCTGAAATCTACTCTAGTCAACACCTGCTATAAACACTTGGGCAATAAACCGTCGACAACAGAGTTAGTAACCGCACAACACCGGGAACGGTTGAATGAAAACCGAGATGTTATACTTTCGAGACCAGATAAAGGCGCCGGAATAGTCCTTTTAAATCGATCACACTGTATCAACAAAATGAACAGCATACTCAGCAACACCAGAAAATTTCAGAAAATAGCCGGGGAGAAAGATAAAACAGAACAAACAGAAAAGTCACTGTTGAAAAGGCTCCGGTGTATCTCAAACAGAGGGACGTAATAGACACTACCACATCTGATCAACTCCGACCAACAGGGAAGACGATCCCGAGACGTTATGGCTTACCAAAGATACATAAAAATGGAGTGACTCTCCGACCGACTTTAGACATGTTTAACTCTCCTTACCATGCCTTGGCTAAGTGGCTGGTAGCGATCCTGGAACCCGTGCGAGCAAAACTCACCAATCACACATTAAAGGATTCCCACGACTTAGTGGCTAGTATTAACGACACAAACATAAACGGAATACGCATATTATCACCCGACGTCAGTTCACTCTTCACTAACGTTCCCATTGATGAAACTACTGAATACATATGTGACTACATACAAAGTAATAATTGTGAAGTTGGAATGCCAGTTGGTGATCTCAAACAATTACTATACTTTTGCACACATAATGTACAAATCAAATTCAATGACGAAGATATCGCCAAATAGATGGAGTGGCAATTGGATCTCCTCTGGGTCCATTGTTCGCTGATATTTTCATGGCAAAGCTGGAGAATAACATCCTTCTCAAACGAACAATTGATCGTTGCACATTTTACAAGCGCTATGTGGATGACATTTTGTGCTTTGTCGAATCAGAGTGTGCATCTGTCAAGACTCTTGAAAGTATTTAATTCAGCTCATCCAAACATTAAGTTTACTCTGGAGAACGAAGAGAAGAGAGCAGCTTGCATTTCTGGACGTTCTACTAAGCCGTCGATCAGACGGAACTATCCAACGCGCCATCCACAGGAAGCTATCGTGGAACAATCAGGATATCCATTTCAAAAGCCTTTGTGTCTTTGGAACAGAAGAGAATAATATGTACGGACGATAACATTGATACAGAACCGAGGTTTATTCGAGATGTTTTTCTTCAAAACGGATACCCCGTGCGATTTGTGGACAACATTCTGGGTGGTCATCGGTCGCCAAATAAGATCATTACTGCGGAGAATAAACCGGTTTACATATCACTACCTTTCAAGAGCGACACGACTGCTGGTATGGTGACACGTAAGCTCTGTACAGTGGTAGAAAAAGCATTCCCGTGGCTAAAGTGCATACTATGTTCATCTCCAGGCCACTTCTATGCTTTCAACTCAAAGATAAATTGCCTGTTTCTGCGGTCTCTTTCTGTGTATATATACCTATTTACCTGTGCCTGTGGGGCAAGGTACATTGGCCGCACGAGCAGACATTTATCTGAGCGAGTCCGTGAGCATCACCCGGCCTGGTTGAACAGTGGAGTAATTAGGACCATTAACAGCTCAATCGTTTCACACCTGGTGGAATCAAATCACGTAATTAATGTGGCCGAGGCGTTTTCGACCCCTCTACTTGGTTCGCACCCGGCGATCTAAGAGGATTGGGAGTCGCATTTTGGCCATAGCCACCTATGCTCCCAAAAACAATTCGTAAGAACACACTCGGTCTTCCATGGCCAACATCACACACGACACAGCCATCCCCCCAGCCGACCAAAGTGTGANNATTATCTCTTTCCAACGTCTTGATCTCTCCCCCCTGCCAAAAAGTTTGATATAAATTGTGATGTATTAGCCTATAGAAGAATCACCGCAAACAAGCTTGTTCGCTACTTTGTGTTTTCTCACAATGGGTATGGATGGTATAGTCGGACAAATGTATTTTCGTCAAAATAACCTTGTCTGCAACACTGGATGACTTTTGGATAGATAGCTCTTCCAGAGCCAGGGCACTGAAAAACCAATGCTACATAGATTTGAGAGTATTACATAGTCCGTTCAACCTTGTAATACAGAACAGAGGTATAGTAGTTGTTCGTAAACAACAAAAACGAATGTTATCAGCACT